GCAGTGAGGTCTGCTTTCAGGAAAGTGGCATGAGGCAATTTTATCCATTTCTGGGTGGTCATAGTGCACAGTGGGGCAGGGCTGACCCTCTTTTTTTCATTCTTCAAGACCTGCAGGACCTTTCAAAGTTGGTTGGAAGCCCCCATGGTCCTGCTTTCAGGAACTGAAATGAGAGGGACAAAAGCCGAAAAACCTAGGAATGTTTATTTTTTAGTTTAAAATATTTCAGGCATATTAAAAGGCAGCATGTGCCTACTCACTAACCAGCTTAAGAAAGAAACCAGTACTTTATAACTGAAGCCCCGTATATCCCTTTACATGTCCTATTTCTCTCTCACAATCCTAAATTTGGTGAACTTTCCCATACATGTTTTTATGCTTCCACTATATACTTCTAGTGATCTTTCTGCGATACCACGTTTAATTCCAGGAGGATAGAAAGCATAATAAAGCTATATGTGTGCAAACAACTAGAAGGAGACTGTCTTAATTTAAAGCTCACCTTGGGCTTGTTGAGAAATAAGATGGAATTAAAGTTATGATGTGGCCAGATCGGGGAGGACTCCACTGTTAGGAAGAGATTATCCCTATGATGGAAGCAGGGCTTCGGAGAGTCAGAAACAGGTGCTGGATGAGGAAGGAGTTCTGGTTTCCATCTGGTTGAAAACTCACACTCCCACAGACACCCTCACGTACCTAACAAAACAAAGTGAGTCAGCCACCGAGAACCTAGCCCTCTAAAAGAAAAGGGACTATTGACTGCTGGGTCTCCTCATTACTGCCCAATGCAGAGAAGCATAAGCAAAACCAACTCAGCCTTTAAGTTACAGGATGTGCCAACAGACAGGGTTCTTTGTGCCTCTGGATGTGAGGGCAGAATGAAAAGACCTGGCCTGAACTGAGGGACACAACTGAAGTTAATGCCATATTACTCACCTGTTTTTAAGGCTTGCAGAGACTGATATAAAGTCAAATATAATCAGGTGCTGCACCAATTCACAAAGGCCAACTCCACCAGCATGGGGGCAAACAGGAACTGAAAATGAAGACGGATTTCTATTGAATGGCAAGAGGAGGGCAGAGAGAGGGAGTGGTGAGGGAACATGTGGTTTTTCTTAGTACTTGTAGGTGATTAAGTTATGCATTCATGGGATGAGATTCCAAGATGAAAATCGTCAAAAGATTCCCTGATTAGGCCAAAAAGAGTTAGAAAAAAATCAAAATGGCAGATTACAGAAGGAACCACAGATGTCTGATGGGCGGAGAAATGGAGGTTTGATCTGCAGGCCGCTGTGCCCTTACTTTCCAACTTTTTGGCCATCGGCAACACTGAAAGGTTCTCATTGACACTTCCCAGCCTGCAGCTGTCAATCTGGAGAAACTGCAGGGCCTTCGCCTGTAGGAACTCTATTGTTGCACTGGAAATAGAATTAAAACCAACAGAAGAGTTAGCGTTGGCCTTCAAGATCTCTAAACCTGGCAATGTGCCAATTCCAAGTCACTCATCAGTGACCTTCAGGAATCCTGGACTATATTCTTTGTTCTCACTTGGCATGAGGCAAAGCCTGATAGTCCAGGCAGGGACCTCCAGCTCACTCTTTTCAAATCTGCTGGTGGAACGATGTGAGTCATGTAAAATCACACCGCTTGCCATTTATTAAGAAGTAACTGTCATAGCGAAGCAAAGCATCAGGATAAAATACGGTGATGGCGATGAGCAGATGGCACGGACAACAAAACAGAACCATGGCAGATCAGCATTGCTCCTTTTGCTGGGAAAACCGAGAATCTGTTCCTTCTCACTGTTCTGCTCGTGGGCTGACTGCCGCAGGCTTTGGCAGGCACTTGTGCTTCGTTTGTAAGCACAAAAAGTGAACGCAATAATGTTTACTCAATTTGGAAGCTGGCTTTCTTAAAACCACACAGTGCATTTTATGCCCTTGCAATAGCAACTTTAATTGCTGCCCTATAAATTTCCATTAGACACTGAAAAAAATTAATGGCTTTAGTCATATAAATTGTAGAAAAATACATTAACTAGACTATATCTGATTGCAGGCCCTAATGAAGTGCTGTAAAATGGCCCAATTTCTAGGACTAGGAAGACTTTCCAACTCAAAATACAACAGGTGATGTAGCCTAACATACGATGATGTCCTCAGTCGGTGTAGCCACTATATGCTGACCCCAAGGAGATGTTACTTACCTGTTCTCCTGTGGCAATGCCAATTCCTAATGGGACCAATGCCTATAAAATATAAGGCAACCTGATGTTATTTTCCTAAGTTTTTGAACTGAAACTCCTGCTGTTGAAAAATTCAGAGCTTCTTAACTACTTAATGTTTAAGTATTTAGAGCTGAAGAAAGACATCCCTGCCGCAGAGTCCTGTGTAGTTTAAGGAGTGGCAGAAGGTGGTCAGGGGACGTGTGTGTCTGCAGAGGAGAAAGCCAGAGCTTGTTCACATGCTGCCATTACTTCCCTTCCTGGCTATAACTACAGATTCTGTCTGTATTTCCCAAGTGAGAAAAGGCGCCCGGGGCAAGCAACTGACCTGGGTCATAAAGCTAGAAAGGAGTGGAGCTGGGCTTGAAATTAGGCTGACTCCAGAGCCAGAGGAGGCATCTGAATCACTAGATAGGCCAACTCCCCTAAAGAAAATGCTTTAATTTAGGATCCAGGGGCCCCCATTTCCACTATGTGTCCTGCCTCTAATAGGATGCACGGACTTGAGAGAGTCACTGACCACCTGAAGCTCTGCCTTCTCGCCTGCAGGTCAGGAGTTAGAGCGGATGGTCGCAGAGGCACCCTTTAGTGCTAACAACTTATGCTTCCTAAAACTTCTAATTTAAGTATGCTGGGTTTATCTTAAAAGAAAATAGGAGTAGGGGGAAGGAGGACTGGGGAGGGGAAAAGCCATTTGACTTATTCTACCATTTTTAAAGCATATAAGTTTCTGGCACGTAATAGGTACCAAATTTTATTTTCTCCTTTTAAATACTTCCTGAATCTGCCCTACTCCAGCTGCCCTCTACCTTCCTTTCCAACCCTTTAATGTGAAAGTCTCCTAGCTTGGATCCCAGCCTCCATCTCCTTCTCATTCTTCACCTTTGCTATGTCCAATGTGAATCCATCCTACATGTGTCTACTGGTCAAAGAACCTACAGTGGCTTACTGAGTTCAGCTGCATCTTCTGAGCAGGTGGGCCCATAAACTGGCCTCAGGTGCCTACCTTCTCCACGAGCCCCACCTTTCACCGGCATTCCGTCAGGTACCTCCACGGCTCCACTGTGCTGTCTCTCTCAGCTTCCCCTGCCTTGGTTCCTCGGTCCCTACTTCCTTAGATGCCTCCTGAGAGGATGGCCTCCCCAACGTAAACAAAACCTCAGAGGATTGAAGCCCAGCAGAGCTTCTGGGGATACTCTCCAGGTGGGCAGAGGTTGAGGTCCCTGTTTGGACAAGTTGGCAGCCACTAGACATGGCTACACCACAAGAACGCAAGACAAAATGTCTTGTTTAACCATGGCTCCTCACCAGATTCTCATTTTGGAAGGATTCCTTGGAAGGTTTCCATTGTGTTTAAATCCAGGCTATGGTCATTCCACAGCTCCTGCTCACGCCTCCCTCACCTGCAGTTTAGCTTTCCTTATAGAGTCAGCTCTGTCCCAGCCCACAGCCACCTTTCCCTTCAGTGACCTTCTTTCTACTGCCCTCAGCACTCAGGGCCCCGACCCCCTGTTCCACCTGCCTGTGTTTCATGCATCTTTTTTCTCTACAGCCAGGCTGTAAAGTAGGGAGAGTGGAGGCCATTTCTTAAACAAAGGCTTTAGTATAGTGTCCGACATAAGGAGATCATATGCTGATTTACTGAGAGAAATGGACTGCACAGCACAGTAGGACCTGTGACTTCATGTAAGGCACATGAAGTTGTCTCTCCTAGAACTGGAGACTAAGACTGTTCTCAGAGAGAAAATTTTAAGAGCAACGCATAATTGGGGAGAGCAGAGCAAAGCCAAGTCACCTCAAGGAGAAAAATCAGTTCCTAGGCTCCTCGGCTGGGGGGACTTGCCTCTAAGCCAAATGAAGGTGTTAACCCAACTGCATAGTGTGGTGGTAAAGGGTTATCAGATGAAAACATAAAAGCGGGGTCAGAGGCATGTGTTGGTAGGACCTCTGCAAACACCGCCAGGGGGAGATGAGGCTTAAGACTCGACATGGCTAGGGTCAGAAGCAAGTATATCTGCCCTGCAGAGGTGAATGCATTGGGCCATCTTAGTCTGCCACTATCACATATTCAGATCCTATAACCAGTTCCTGCTCTGATTCCTCACTCATCCAGCAGCCTTTGGTTGAATATAGCTATTCATGGAGCTTGGTCTAGTCAGAAGATACAAAAATCTAGTGCTCCCAGAAGTTAAGGTTATCCTAAATTAACCAGTTGGCATTCCGATGTTATACATCAGTGCTGTAAGCTGGCCTAATGGGAGACTCTCCCTGAGAAATAGGATGTTCTGACAGATCATGTTCTTCCTAAACCTGAAAGGGACAGAGGTTGGCCCTCAATTAGGGCAGATTTGCAAAAGAAGAGCCCTGGTTCCAGGGAAACAGACAGACAGCCTTCTCTTGGGGAGGCCTCACCTTGACATTAGCTAAGCAAGCCTTTTCTTTTGAGTCATCCAGAGGAATCTACACTTTTTGTTTAATTCTAGGTGAGTAAAATATTTTAATATCAGTCAGATTTCTATGTTTACAAAACATAAGAACCATGTCTATTAACCTTTGGATGGTTCATAGCCATTCAGCTTTTAGCCATTTACTTTCTCTCAAATAAACAGAAATAGGAGCAGTGGATAAGCTGAAGTGAACAAATGGATGTCAGGTCTGTAATCCAGTACTTGTTACAAGTTATAATTATTTCAGCTACTTCATCAGGAAATGTGAAGAAGAATACGCAAAGGAATTCTAGGGTCTGTTGCAACCACTCTGGAAAACCAAACAAAAAGTATATGGTAGTGGCAGCCACAGCAACAGCAGCTTTTTTACCTTGGAGATGGTGGCATGTCCCAGAACGTCATCAGGGGAAGTTGGCTCCTCAATCCACAGTGGCTTGAACTCAGCCAGGTTTGACATCCACTCCACTGCCTCGGGCACATCCCAGCACTGGTTGGCATTCATCATTTGTAAAGAGAGACCCTTGGCAGTGAGGTCTGCCTGGCGCTGACCTTGCTGCATGGCTGTGGCTCCCAGGGAGGAAAAGGCTGTCACTTACTGCTACCAACTGCTGAGCAAGACTCCCAGAGGGAGCCTGACATTTCTTTGGAAGCCCAGCACGCAGCCATGACAAAGGGAGCCAAAGAGCAACCACTGAGACCAGAACTTTCACTCCAGATACAGCAAGTACTCGATGTCATTTCATTAGAATGTTGATGAGTTGCCATAGGAACTTAACTCTTGTTTATATCAATTAGCCTATGGTAAAACGGATTTCTTTATACACCGTTTTGCTTAAAGTCGCAGAATCTACTGATGGTGTTATATGAGGATTTATTGTACTGTCTTGGGAGGAGTTGGGGATCATGGAGCCGCTGTGATGTCCAGGAGTGCCCTGGGCTAAGCCCACAACAAATGCTCACTGCCCCAAGAGCTCTGGCTCAACGTACATTTAGATGCCACCCAAATACATTTATGTTGCAATGTTCATTGTTTATAGGAATTGTTTTGTCACATTCTGAATCATGCACAGCCAATATTGAATCTGTTCAATGGTCATTTATTGATTTGCCTACTACGTACCTGGCACAATAACGAATAATCCAAACTCTACCATTAATTAAGCACCCATGCCACTAGGCATTTTATGCATTTTGTCCCATTAATATTTATAATAACTCTGAGGCAGTTCATATCAACCCATTTTACAGAAAGAAAACTGACACACGGAGAAGTTAAGTAACTTAGCCATGAATAATAAGTCAAGTAAATGGTGAGTTCAAGTCCAGGCCTCTCACTCCAAGGCCCTGGCTCTCTGCATGCAGCAATCCTGCCTGGAAGCCAGGTACTGGGTGTGCAGAAACGAACAAAGAACTCCTCCATCCCTGACATTATTATGCTTCAGGAAGACAGACACAGAGACGGCTATCTCTAGTAGAATGTGCTAAATGGTAGGAGTGCCCTTACAGACTATGAGAACCAGAGGACAGTATACCCCAAATCGATTACTATCATAAATAATTTGGATGAGGATGACCTCATAAGACAAAAGTAACATTAATTCATGTATAAATAATGAGACATCTGATCCTAGGTCGAGGACTCAAAACTTCTATTTTAACTTAGGAAACAGTCTCTAAAACTTTACCAAAAGATGTTATTATGACTTCCTTTTATGAAAATATTTTACACATAATAAGAAATGCTTTCAAAACTACATAGTAACGACTGATCCTTTCATTTACCTCAGAGTTCTAGCATTTCTGCAGCAATGGCTCCCCGAGACCCATCTGTGTGATGGGCTGTGGGTGGGGAAATGGAGGGGGATGGCATCAAACTTAATAAGAAGGAAGATTGAATGGCTGACACACCAAGGCCCCAAGTGGGAGACTTGTTTGCTCAGGTGCATCCACATTAAGAAAATGGAACAATTCCTGATCCTGATCTTAACTAGTTCTGCAGAATAAAAAAGTTAAAAACTATAAGCCCCCTCAGTTTTTTTTAAGAGTTGGCCCACAACAAGACCACAAAGCTGTCCTTCCTCTAACATTCAGTTTTAAAATTCCCAATGTTCTTTAATCCTTGCTTGAAATAAGTTGTAGATTGGCTCTGGACAAAGGCTTCCTGCAAGGCTGCTTATTTCTCAGTGGGAGGAGAGGACATTTACCAAAGTCTTCTCAGGTCCAATCATATTTCTGATGAGTCGGCATCTATGGATGTCATCCCGGAGATTGGCACCGACTTTTACCTTAAACCTGTAAAACCAATTTGGTTTCATAGTTTAGATCTGTCCCCTGACTTGGCAAAGATACTGGATCTTCTGTAGAAGTGACCATCTCTGTGAATAACTCACAGATCACATTTTCTAGTAATTTTGTGCTCTTCCCCAATCAATCTTCAGAGAAGTCACTTGCAAATACCCTGCAAATGGTATCTCTTTACTCACAACTGGGGCGATTGCCCGCTGACCTGAAGTTAAGAAACTGGAGAGAGCAGTTAGATCTCTAATAACATTAACTAAGTTTTTACTATGCCATGAAAAGGAATTAAGAACGAAAAAGCCACAGATTTGAAGAGGAAAGTGGGATTGGGAAGGGCAGCTGAGTGAGCTGTTCTGTTATATCCTGAATGAAAGAGTACGGTTGATAAAATACCCACATCTACATGGTCCTTTATAAGAGGGCTTCATCCTAAATCAGTGAGAGGTCGGCCACAGGGACCCTGTGGTGCAGGGGCCTGAGGTTTAGAGGTTAAAGTGACTTGGTCACATAACTAAAGAGCAGCAGAGGCTCCCTTCACATCACACTTAGCCACTTGCGAGAGCTCCCTTAATGTGCTTTGGCACTCAACTGTTCTCCAGAGCCAGACCTCTACATTGTCTCCCATGACTCTGCCAAAGCTGTTTTTTTTCTTTGTCAGTAGAGGTGTGGTTGGCCTGAGCGTGACACTGCCACGAGGAGGAGGAGACACCACACCGTTGTGGGTGAAGCTGGCATCCTTTCCCTTGCTCACTAGCCTCTTTGCACACTCGATGTTGAGGCTGCCACTCAAGACAGATTCTGAGGTCCTTCCTCTACTCTCCACAATGCCCACTCTCTGTACCAACAAAAAGCCCATTGCAGAATGCTACATACACTCAAGCATCCACGGCTGTTCTCGCCCCTCTGCTCAGTACTAAACATACTAAAGAAGACATTATTATCCCAGATGGGAGCTTCAGTTTCTGAATGCTGGACTTCCTGTGCTGGGAGGCCCATGCAATCTCTCTCCAGCCTTCTCTGACTCACCAGTTATGACTGCTCCAGGCTTTCCTGGGTATCTGCAGAGAGGGAAAGTGTCAGCATTTACTGGGCACCTGCTATATGAATCCTGACTATGCTGGTCCTTCTTAGATATGGCAACTTCGAGGAGAACCAGGACTTAATATTATTCCCATTTTGTGGAGAGAGAAAATGAAGTTCAGACAGGTTGATGATCACACAGCAAGTACTTGCAGAGGATGAGGGAAAAGAAAAACATTTGATTCCGATTCCATCACATCCCTGAGCATCTTCCCACAGCTTCATGCTGCTTCCTTCAAGTTCTCACTCCTCCACCCTTTATTTAGCTCAGAAGTTCACAAGAATTCAACCCATTTAGAAGTGAGTGGCCATACTCATTACCCAAGGGTTGTGTTAAAATGCAGATTACAATGCAGCAGGTCTGAGAAGAGGTGTTGCTCCACAGACCACACTTTGAGTAGTAGAAGTTTCAGTGGCCAGACTGAGTAGAGTCATGTAGAAAGCCTGATGATATATACAAGGCAAATGTGCCACCTTGAACTGTACTGATGGACTCACAGTGACCAAATCAAGAGATGATGGTCCCTGTTTCCCCCACTGCATCAGGATTTAGGGCCACTGACAGCCAGTTTATTCAAAGGAAGACCCTAGATGCCCCAGGGTCCATAACCATGCAGGACGGAGATGTGCAGATGGTAACTCTGGTGAGTTGATGGCCCAGAGGAAGGGAAGGGCTGTCACTTGAGTGGAGGAGGGGGAGCCTGGCTCTTGGGAACTCTGAAAAAAACTGGGACTGGTGGCCAGAAGTTATATGGAAACAAAGGGTTCACGATACTGAAGCTCTTTTTTATACCTGGAGCCCTCCAACAATGCAAAAGTGCTTTACAAAGTTAAGCTGCTACCTCCGGAGGTTTTCAAGCGGAAGCTGAATCAATGCTTGTTACTAAGAGTACAGAGTGGATTTCTAGTCTAGATTGGTGATTGAAACTGATGATCTCCACCATTTCTTCCAACGCTGATGTCCCACGATTCTAGTTCGAACTCACATCTCATCTTTGGGAAAAGAGCCTGGCCTAAGCTCAAATTTCTCTTATGTGTCCCTACACACCAGACTGCTCCTGGATGAATCCTAAACCCTTTTGTGCCTTTTGATCCTGGCTCCCCTCCATTGCCCAGCCTCTCATTTGCTAACTGGGACAGTCAAGTTAATTATCACACAGATGAGTTACCTGGTCCAACCGTCCATCAACGCCTCTGTGCAGAGCTGCGGGGAGAGGAACACGTCTATCACCATACACTGAAAAGCTCTCTTTGGTCTCAGAGCACGTCAGTCATTTCTGATCTGGTTTCACAAATGCTATGGTTTTAGCAGGAAGCAGAAGAACAGCCATGTGTTGTTGAAATTCAGAGCAGAAACAGCTTAGCCAACAAATATAACTCTTTATACTTGTAGGGCAACTTTCTTTTCTTGTCTCTATGGCAACCATTTCTTTAATTGTCACAACACTCCTGGAGGGGAAATGGAGCATTTATATCCCTCTTTTTTTAAAGCTAAGATATTATGTGGCATCCACAGAACTAATGGATGTAAGAGTAACAAACAGAATCTAGTCTCTCTCTCACTCTTAGCTGTAGGTGAGTATAATAT